CCTGTGGGAGCCCTCATCATGTCTTGGAGAGGGAACAGGTTTTCTCCTGCTCTGAAGCCAGATGGGACTCTGCAACCATGTCCCAGACCCAGTCTCCAAGAAGTTTTCTGAGGGCTCCCATCCAGTCCTGGGGTGATGGGAGTGCAGGGCCATGCACTAATCAGCATCATCCGGGCCTTGTTGCTCATGGGGAATGATAATCCTTAAAGAGGTCAGCCACTGCGACATTTCTTTTGCTGCCCTGTGCAGGACACTGCGTTGTCAAACAACTCATCCAGCAATAAATGACTCCAGACATTGCCTGCCTTGTGCTTCCCCTGATACCCCATGACAAAACCCACTGCACAGCCCCTGCAGCTGTAACTGTCCTGTAACCACACAGACGCTGTGCGGTGCTGCCAAAACTCAAGTATGTCTGCAGGTATGGTTGTGCTTCCTGAGTGACCCACACCACTTTCTTTCTCCTTAGGCTGCCTTGTGAGCAACCAGTTCACCAAGGCCCACAGTTGGAAGCTCAGAGGTCTGGGAAGGTCTAGGACCAATAGTGGAAGCTTCCGCCAAAAACGATGCAGGGTGTTAAAGACCAGAACCCAGCAGTGGTTTCTGTGCCCAGCTCCCTGTTGGGAGGATGCCTATGACACAAGGCAAATTGAAGGGCTCTTTGGAGATCATGGAGAATCCAGGAGGGTGACACAAACACTGGTTTCTGGGACCCTCTGCTTCTCCATTTCATGGAAAGGCCTTGAAAATAATCCACACACTGGGAACCTGGGAGAACGGTCATGACATCAAGATGGGAAAGGACTTTGGAGAGAAGGGCATGAGGAAATGGTGGAGACAGGGCTGGGCTTGGGTGCTCCAGCAAAGGGTACGACCTGGTCCTGATCTCTGTCATCAGTCATGTCCCGTGATGTCTCATGAGTGGGACCATCTGCAGATTCACAGATTTTCCAAGCATTATACTGACCTTTCCCTTTGCTCCTCCCTGCTCTTTCTCGGAGCATCACACTATGGCAATCATCAAATTAAAAGAGTAATGGTTTGAAATCTTTTAATTTTTCCACCAAGCCCTCCCCTCCAGCCATGTCAGGTAGGACCAGCAAGCTTCATATCGGCAAAGATGCAAATCCCACTAGGGAGGCAGGGTAGGTCAAGGGCTTGGCTTTGGTGTGGGAAACCTGGCTCCCCTCACTGGCACGATGTTGGTAAGGTCATTCCCCATCCTTCCCACAGCATCAGAGGGGGATACAGGCAGTGCAAATCCACACCAGCCTGGTGCAGTCAAGAAGACAGCAGGGGCAAGATGCCCTCCCACCCCCAAATGCCAAATCTTGCCCCCCCCACACCCCACCTGCCCCTCATTGCCTCACGTGCCCACCGCCACGGGAAGGGGATTTTGCAAAGAGGAGGTGGCGCCTGCTCATCCGTCCAAGTGGCCGTTCTCATCCTGACCACTGCTGCCGCCTCAGCTCCTCTTAGCCCGAGCTTCCTCTCCCGTCTTCGGGTCTGGAGCAAGCTGGACGCTCTTAAAAAGCTTTTTATGTGCGTGCGTGTGTGTGTGTGAGTGTGTGTTAATCACATGATTGTCATTCACCTGTATCCTGAACAAAGACGGTGCACTGTTTAGGGCCCAAACAAGAAAGCCAGCAAGGGAAGGAGGGGGGTTGTTGGGAAAACTGAAGGGGCTGTTGAGAGAGCGGGCGCGCGCGCGAACAAATCCTTATCAAACTCCCAATTCATGGGTCTCCCTTTCCCTCAGCACACTGTGGGTATTGTTTGGCTAGGGGGTGTGTGTATGTGTATTTTTTCGAATGTCTCTGTCGTCCCCTCCTCGCTCCCCAGCTCTGACGTTGTTTTACTGTATGGAAAGATTTCATGGAGAACCCCTCCCATTTTCCCAGGCAGTCCTGGGACAATACCGGTCCTGTGCCCCTGAGTTGGGCAGGGGACAAAAGCTGGCCCTGGCTCTCATGCTGGGGATCCTGCTGCTCCTCTACTGTGGACAGGCTCTCCCCTCTTACTCCTCTCTTGCTACAGAAGCAGAGGAATAGGTGTCATCTGGCAAAATCCCTCCCCAGAAACCTCAGTGGTCCCACCTGGGTGGTGGAGGTGTCCTACCAATGTGGTCCCCTCATTTAAACCCTACTGAGGAGGTGCTGCTGCAATGATGCACCTTGCTCTCCAAGCAGTCAGCCTGGAGCAGGGTGTCTTTCCTACTACCCTTGGGAGTGATGTGGACACAGAGGTACCTGATGGAACATCTCCATTTCCCACTTGCTTTTAACCATTTTCTTCCTCACATAGCTTTATGGTGGAGAAGTGGCATCCTTCCAGCTTTCCATATTGGGGACTGAGGCCCAAGGAAAGCAATTCACTGATGTGTCATGGGAAATTTGTGGCTTACCAAGGTGTCTGGCTTGTGAATCCCTTCTTTCACAAAGGACTGTCCCTTCTTATGGACCTGTAACTCCTCGTCCATAGAAATATAGGCTGAAAAGAAGGGATGGAAATCCGCTATCTGAGCATTCCTCCAGAGATCAGTTATTGGGAAAACTTGCATTTAGAAAGACCACTTCTGCAATGTCAGCTTCTGTGGTCGGCAGTAGCATTTAGAGGGTCCTCCAAAAAGCCCCCCAGGACTGACTCCCAGGAGGAGGAGAAAGAGACATGCCACCCTAGTGATTCCTGAAACAGGAATGGTCTCTTCTCCTTCCCCTCTGCCTGTCTTCTCACCTCAATCGAAGAGAAAGATCATACCTCTCCTTGCTACAGTAGAGTTATATTTTCCACAGCTCTCTCTCCTGCATCTGCCTCTTTGTAACACAAGAGAAGAGGCGATATATGAACAGAAGAGACTTGAAAAAGGATATACAAACACTCAGTGCTGTAGGAGGGATCTGGAAAAAGGGGGGAAAGGGCTGCAAAGAAAGAGAGTTCAGAAAGTGGAGGCTGGACCAAAGGAGACAAACCCTAAGAACTGGAGTAAGGCAGAATGAAGGAAAAAATCCCTTCCCTGTCATTTAAATATGAGCAGACACTGGGACATCAGATTGCAGGGACAGCGAGGCTGGTACATACTCCTTTGACCCTCTGCAGCTGAGGCACCCACAGCTCTTCCAAAAAGGCATGAATGGGACTTGGGTCCTGTCTGGCAGGTGGCAACAGTCCTTGACAGGGATGGTGAGCAGTGGGACAAACACTGATCCAGAGCCCTGGGGGTTACTGAAATCCCTTCTGGGTCTGATTCCTTTCTTATCCAGTTGGGAGTGGCAAATAAATCTGAAGGGAGGGCAAATAAACATGGTTTTCTGGCCATTTTCTGTGTCATTGTTCCTCCCCAGCCCGGGTTGGAGATTGGCTGCGGACAGGGGAACAAGCAGGGCAGCGTTTCTCAGCAGTGGCTACCTTCCTGAGGGGCAGGAGACCAACTCCCACTCCACTTCTCCCACACCTCCTATGCAGGGCCCCTGCAGATTGGGTGGGGGAAGATGCCATGAGCTCTGCAGTATCACTGACTCTGCATCCAGTGGGCCATGGACAACTGTGTACAAACTGACCTTGCCCCACTAGTTTTTGCTGGTTATCTGTCCACCAGAGAGAGGGTGATCTGCCAAATTGCTCCTGTCTGTGCTGCGAGACCTCTTCTTGTGACAACTACAACTGAGGTCTCTCTTGGTGAGAGAACTCATCCCATACTGCAAGACTTGAGGTTGACCAGCTGCTGATTTGGCCGAGGAAGCGGGGTCTCGATATTTTGCTAGGCTCTCCACTAAGTTTTCTTGTCATCACAAGGTTTCTAGAGTGAGTATCTGCTGTAGGAGTTGAAAATGTTCTTGAAATCCCTTCAAGCTGGTTCCCTGGATCACATCCTTTAATCTTGTTATATTTTATGACTTAGCACTGAAGTGTCTTCAGGTTGGGTCTCCAGCAAGCAGCTGAGGCCAGAGCTAGGTTCATCTCATTGATAACTCAGGAGGGCCTGCAAAGATCAACAGAATTTTCATGGGTGACTTCTCATGGTTGAAGGGTTGGTGTTGGTCTATACTAGCCCTGGTAACAAAGAAAAGTAAAGAAATCAACTACCAGAAGCACCTGGGAAGGAAAGCAAGCTAGAAAATGGAAGATGTAATGGACAACATTCTAGTACATTGAGTGCTAAGATCCTCTTCATGTCCCAGTGCACTAGCAGCAAGAATAAGGGTGAGTGTGAGAGAGTCCTCATCAGGAGACCTTCCTTTCTTTGTGAAAGACCCCACATTTGCCTTCAGAAGCAGCTCAGCATGTTGGAGGAGGCAGAGCCTGCTTGTCTTGGGAAGATGTCACAGAGATGAACATGTTGTGATGAGCCCATCCCTAGATTGCAAAAGTCTTAAGAAGGTTCAAATTGGTATCCACTGTCCAGCAGCATGGTATTTTCCCTAGACTTGATGTCCTCCACCCTCAGGACACACCCGATCTCCTGCATCCCCTTCCCCACCCTACAGATGCAGGTCTGAATGATGCTCTTTTAGCACGAAAGGGTCCTGGGCCAACTTGTTGCAGCACAGCAGGATCCTCATGAGACTCTGTGACAAGGACTGGGGACTCATTTAGCACATGGGGAGCACTAGATCTCTTGGGAGTAACCATGCTATCAGGGAAAAAGCGTGGGACTCCTGTCCTGGGGATGCACACCCACCTCCCCAAACCACCTAGATCCCTTCCAGCATCCCACCACCCCAGCTTCTCAGGGGTGAATCTTCCAGCACCATCTCTGGGGTGGTCATGCCACCGAGAGCAGCCCAATGCCAGCAGTTCAAGTGAAGAGGCTGGCACCACGGAAAGCAGGGAACGTGCTGGTGACTGAGGTGGGGTGGGGGGCTGCTTGCGTCCCCTCCCCGCTGCCCCTGACCGACTGTATTCTGGCTCTGAGGAGTGCTTGGCTCCACCTTCCGCCCTTCCCTCCCCCGGTGCTAAGCAGCAAAGCCAGCTAGAGACATCCAGCCGGGGTATTAGTAAAAACCAAGCCTCCCTCCAGGAATGGCACTCGCTTGAGAGCCTCCCTGTGCTGCACGCCCCGACGCCGCTGGGGCTGGGAGGGAGAACAGGGGGACTATTGGGATACAAATCACAGCCCTCGCAGGATTTGCCCGGCACATCGGCCAGCAATGTAAGTTTTCCTACCTGAGCTCGCTTGCACACGCGCACACGTTTGTTCGCGCTTTCCCCCCCTACTTTCTCTTACTTTTTTCATTTTCCCCAATGAAAGTCTGTGTTGCCCTCTGAAACTAGAGGGATAGCCGCCCTTGCTCTAGACTGGCTTTTTTCTTCAGTTAAGTCAGGGGCATGCTTTTCTAGCGCTTCTTTATTTTTTCTTTTTTATTTCTTTCTTCTTCTCTATTTTTTTTTTTTTAATTCCTGAATGGGAAGGATAGCAAGGCCTTTATTTTTAGAGTGTTTCTTTCTCCAGAGGGAAATTACTGCATGGCAGCAGGGACTTTTAGAGGTGACTACAGACAGAAGGAGAGAGGCGGAGTGTGTGGGGCAGGCAACCCAAAGCTTTGGCTTGTCTCAAAGTTAAATTTGGTTTTGTTTGTATCTGTATATTTATAGATATATGCATGATGTGAGTATGTATATGCGTATATACACATAGACAGGAGTGTGTGTGTGGATGAAGTGTAGATGTATTTTAAGTCTTTGGTTTATCAGCTGCAAGAGGAGGGTGAGGGATGAGGTGTTCCCACAGAAGCACTTTTCTATAGTTGAGATCAGGGTCTCTGAGTCTGGACCCAGGGCCTGGGCTGATTCCCTTCACAGTGGTACCACCCGCTCAGATTCCCTGGCAGCTGGAATATAGGTCCCTTCTGACTTATCAATACCGTGCTGGCGCTTCCCCTCTCATGCCTCCCCCTAGGAATTTCATTGTACATCTTTGAAAGAAAGGAGCACTTCCCCACACAAGTTTTGTGGCTGTCCCCCATATCCCACTCCCCTGTGGGGTGCTGTGCCCAGGCAGGATGGTCCATGTCTCTCTCCTTTCAGGTCCCCAACCTTCCTTATCCCTTTTGCTGTAGGCCCTTCTGCATATGTCAGTTCCACACAATTGCAGAGATAGGGAGCAATATGCCAATTAATCAGGGGCCCCGACCCATCCCCACCCCCATCGATCACGGGTTTTGTGGTGTGCATGGCAATTGCTTTGCTTGCGCTTTTAGTGAGCAGCCCCTGACTCGTGGTCAGCTCTTCAGAGACCTTGGAGTACCTTTCAGCTTTGGTGGTTGCTTCTCCTTTTCTCTTTTCCCCGCTCTTTCCTTTCTTTCCTTTGTTTTTTTTCTTCCTTCCTCCCCTCCCCAGTGAGAAGAAGGACAGCGAGAAGGAAGGGAGAAGGCTCGAGAGCAACAATGGCTGATGACCAAGACCTTTCAGAGGTGGAGATGAGCCCAGTGGGCTCTGAAGACCACCACTGTCTCTCGCCAGGACCCTCCATGGCGTCAGAAAACTCCCCACATCTCACTGGTTCTGGGAACGGGGAGATGGGGAAGGTCAAGAAGGAACAGCAAGATGCAGAGGCAGATGATGACAAGTTCCCAGTGTGCATCCGTGAGGCAGTCAGCCAGGTGCTGAGTGGCTATGACTGGACCCTGGTGCCCATGCCTGTCCGGGTCAATGGAAGTAACAAGAGCAAACCCCACGTCAAGCGGCCCATGAATGCCTTCATGGTCTGGGCACAGGCTGCTCGGAGGAAGCTGGCTGACCAGTACCCGCACCTCCACAACGCCGAGCTCAGTAAGACCTTGGGGAAGCTTTGGAGGTAAGAGCGAGCGGCGGAGTGGGATGTGTGAGGGTTGAGGTCCGGAGGTGTCCTGTGGAGGACTGTGCGGTCATGTGGAAGGATGGAGACTTAGCGGCATGGAATGCATTTCACTTGAGGGGACTTTCCTTCTCTATGGGGAACTTTCCTTCTCTATGGGGAGCATAGACGTTGACTGGAGCAAGAGTAGTGGTTGAACGTAGTGAAGGATTCCTCAGCAGAGCTCTCCTCTATCCTAGGTGGCAGACCTTTTCATGTGTTTCCCACTAAGTTTCCTTGTTGTTCCCAGCCAGGACAATTCTGGTCCTCCCCTGCCTGACTGCCTGGAGATCTCGTTTTCTTGGCTTACCCTCCCTGCTGGGCCAAGTTGTGCATAGCAGGAAATGGGCTGAGCTTAAGACTTAAGCCCTAAGTCACTGGTGTCTGCCTCAAGCCTGTTTGAACTCATGTCCCAGTGCCAGCAGGGTTTCGTTTCTGAGCAGTGCCACAAAGCAAGAGGGAAACCAAGTTACAGCTAAGGATGAAGGTCAGGGGAAGAGAGACAAGCAGTCAGAGCCCCACATCCATCCTTCCCAGGATGGTCCCAGTTTTTGCAGGTCATGCAGGTTCAGCAAGATGGGCAAGGAGAGACCTGGCTAGAAAGTGGGGTATGAGGCTTAGCAGAAAGGAAGAGACTTACAACAGTCCCAGACTTAGCAGGCTCTCTTGGAGTATGCTGACTCAAATGAGCCACATCTCTCTTTGCAAATGAGCTGAATCTCCCTTTGCACCCAGAGAAATGCCCTCCCTTCTTGCCAGCACACACACGCTTGTCCTTCTGGCCCCATCCGTTTGTGTGGCCATTTTCATTTTGTCTTAGTGCGGATCCTGGGTCCTTGATGTACCCTCTGCTCCTTCCTCCAGAAGACTGATGGGCTGCCCTGATTACAGCTGGCCTGTGAGTGTGCAGAGAGCTGTTGTGCCCAAGCCAAACGTGTGCGGCTGGCCGTGCCACTTCCATCCCATCTGACAGTGTCTGCCTATAACCCCACCAAATGGTTACGAATACTTACTGACACAAGTGCCCAGCACAGTCCACTGCCTTGCACCAACCAACGCAAACCAAGGCTCATTCTCTCTCCCGCCCTGAAAGCATTTCATAGAGGAAGCCTTCAGTCTTGGGTGGGCCAGGAGACATTCTTCCAAGCAGAAGCAAAACATACTCCGTATAGCAGCTGATAGTGAGGTCTTTTAATTTTGGCTTCAAACCTCCTTGCTTGCAAGAGACCAACCCCTTGGGCATTAGATTGTGCCTCTGCTATGTTAGCCCATTTACTGTAACTCCTCATTGCTTAATGTAACCCCAGAAAAGAGATTTCTTTGGGAAGTCAAAGGCAGGCTGTTGATTGCAGGTGTCTAATCTGATGCAATTTCCTGCTTTGACCCTCTCTGCCTTCCCTTCCCTTTATCATGGCACTCACTCCCACCTGGGGCTCTGCTGCCAGCCTCTGGACTGTGAAGCTGTGCTGGAAGGAGTGAGTGTGTGTGTGCGTGCGTGTGTGTGTGTGTGTTTGTGTGTGTAGAATCCAGCTTTTTTGTTCCAAAAATGTTGATTTCAAGGTATCATTCCTCTACTGCAAAATATTGCCAGATTTTAGAGAAATGGTCTCCTTCCAGACACTGCATTTTCCTTGAAAATATAGCAGAGCAGCACTACTCCACAGGTATTGCATTCAGAGTGCAGGGAGACATAGCCACCAAATGTCCGTGCACCCAACTGCCTCCCTGCTCCAAGGGCATGGCTCCCGCTGCTGGCCGCATGGGACTCAGAACAGTAGGACACTGCTGCTGGACAATGGTCAAGGTCCCGGTGTTTCTTAGGGCACTGTACAGCCAGGAGAAGTTTGTGGGGTCAGGCCTGGTGTTCTTGTGTGCTGCTGAGTTTGCCACTTGGGTGCTTTGCTGAATGTCTCCCCTCTGAGTGTCCTTAGTGCAGGCTGAGGTTCTCTAAGCTGTGCCAGAGCAGAGTAAGCTGGGTTGTGGGTACAGGCAGTGTCTGACCTTGGTAGGACCTCATGTGTGTGTCTTTCTGTGAGGCTGAAAAGCCACAAAACTCCAGGGAAGGTAGCCCAAAGGCTATAAGGGTAGTAGCCTGGAGACTTGCCTTCCAGCCATGGTATGGTTGGGTCTTCTTCCACTGAGGTTCCCGCTGCCATAATCTACACTGTTCCCACTGCCATTATTACACTGTTCCCACTGCCATTATCTACACTGTCCCACATGTATAGCTCCCACACATCAGTACAACTGCAAGCAGCCAAGATTTTTTCCGGATGGCTTGGTCTCAAACTTTTGACAAGGGTCAAAACTTTTGACAGGGCCCTGCAAAGGGCCCTGGCTCACTCCTACAGGGTGGCCACCCAAACCCTACAGCCATGGCTTGTAGCTCTGGAAAATGTGGGTTACTACTATTTCCATGCGGGCTGCTCTGACCTTATACAGATAAAGGGCATGTAAGGCAGAAAGGCAAATGCAGCTGAGCACAGAGACTGCCTGCAGACCACTGTTAAACTGAGCGTGTCCCCAGCAATCGTCACTGAGAGGGGCTGGGAAATCTTGAGAGGCAGCTAGCAGATGGAGCGGTAACCCCAGTGCCATCCCATGTGCCCCTCTGCAAAATGGGATGCAATGGCCTGGACTTTTTTTTTAAGCCCAGAATATGCTCCATCTCAGTGCCACCACCATGTCCCCTATAGGCCCCAGTCCTCATTTGAAAGGATATGCCCTGATGGCCACACTACGCACCTGACCCCAAATGTGGTGCTAGGGGGCATTCACCTTCCCAAGTCTGTACCCACTTAGGGTGTTTCATGGGTGCAGACACCAAGTGGGAGGTACTAAAACTGAAGGGAATGTTTCTGTGCTTCATGGTCAGGAAATCTCTCCTAGGATGCTTTCCTTCCCCAGTGTGGGACAGGGAGCAGATCTCAAATGGAGGCTGGCTGCTGAAAATGTCAGCATGACTATTAGCCAAAATGCCAGCCAGCACCACCTCTGGGGTGGAAAACAAGAGAGACAATGGAAGAAGGGGAGGAAGACTTAATAGGGAGGAGCAAGGGTCCCCAATGAGGGTATCTTTGCATGAGGGTAGCAGCACCCAGGGAGTTGGTTCACGTGCACAAAATCTAGGGCCGTGGACCCGTAGGAGAGAGCCTGCCTGGCTGCCTTCTGCTCCCAGCCAGCCCTTGCCTTGCATCAGCCCCAGTGCCCAACCCCATCACCGCACTGACTCATTGCCAGCTGAGTCCCAGCACAGGGTCAGGCCTCTGGCTGAGCCAAGGTGCCTGGCACGCAGGGCAGTGCAATGCCAGGCAGCAGAAGGGGAGGCTGCAAGAGGTGGGCAGAAAGATTTTAGGCCTTCTTTCTCTTCCCAGAGTGTGGCGCTGGATGCTTGCCCCTCTCCCCTCAGCTCGGGGGTGAGCATTCAGTGTCGGGCTCGGATAAGCCCCATGAAGGGCTTTGCTCTGTGATCCATAACTTCTCTTCCCGTGCGAGATTCCTTTGCATTATGGCCTGGGGACCATGAGGGCAGGAGGGGGAGGGCAGGAAGCAAGTGAAATCCAAATCCCCCCAAATCTCCTGGCCTTTGCCTGCTCGCACCAGTTTCACTTTGCTAAAGCCGATTTGAGTTCTGATCCCGACAGGAGGGAGGAGGGAGCAGGCAGCCTTAGAGACCAGAAGACAAAACTGCAGGGAGTGGACTTACCTCTGTCCTGCTGGTGGCACTGCCCGTGAGCTGCTGTCAAGGGGAGAGGAGATGAGGCACTTGAACATAGCTCACAGGGCAGGGATCTGACTCCTGCATAGCCTCCAACAGCTCTGGTTCACACCATACCCAAGATGGATTTCAGAGGTTGAGCTTTGCAGGTTTTGCTTCTATTCTCCATATCCCAAATTCTGCAAGGATCAAAGTTTTGCCAAGGCAAGGTCACTCCCAGTCCACGATGCCTACAAGGGCTGGCCCTTGGAGGGCCGTCTGGAGCAGCACAGGCTGAGGGATTAGAGCCCTCCAGGACGTGTGAGTGTGGTATACGGTGGCAGGAGGGAGACAGGAAAGCTGGTGTTGGATTCATGGTGGCTCAATTGCTTTAATCTCCGGGATTAAGGCAGTGGAGGAATGTGGTGTGTGGCCGCGACCTGCTTAGGCTGCCCGGAGTGAACCCAGGTCAGCACTATGATGGGCTCCAGCCTGTGCCATACACCTTCTGGCTGCCAGATGAGGGGATGCACAAGGAGCAGGAGGAAAGTGGGTGCTTAGGAACCAACCCATTACTTGCTGGTCCCCTCTTTGATCCCCCACCAGATTTACCCGTGTTTTCCTTGAGCCATGCCTCCTCTTCATCTTCAGTTTTTTGGGCCAGTTCAGGCCTCTATATCTTCCTCAGAGCCTACAGCTTAACAGAATTGGTCACATTTTAGTGCAAAGGGCTACAGGGGTGCCAAGGTGCTGCCAAAGTCCCATCCCATGTAGTTATTTTGCTGGGGACATAACAAATGAAATTTTTTTTTGCTATTTGTGAGCGCTGCTATTCCTTAACAGCTGTGGAGAATTCCCAGTCATGGGAAGACTGGTCACTTCTGAGAGCACTGGTTTTTGGCTGGACATAGAATGACCTTAAGTCACAAGAATATTTGAGGAGGAAAACCACAAAATGAAATTGAAGTGCTTCTGGCTGAAACGCTGCTGAAGCCTTGAGCTATGAGTTTGATCTCATCTTCAAATGCTCTGAGCCATCCTTCCTGTGCACTTCACCATTTCCTTGGAGAGCCTATGTTAAACTAGAGCAGCTCATGATCTGGCAGGAATACAGAGAAGGAGCTTACATTTCTGCAGTGCCTTTCATCCAGAGACCAAAGCCCATCTATTTCTACAAGGAACATAGAAGCTAAATTTTTTACAACTGCTTGGCCAAGTTCAAGAAAGGCTGGCCCTTTGTGCTTCAGCCTTTTGCATTATCCATGTCTGAGGTGAGCGGGAGCTACAGCAATAGCAGAATACACTGTTTCTGCCCCTTCCAAAATTTCTTTGAGTCCCTTCTAGGATATTGCAACATGATTAAAGGCCTAGCAAGCTCCAGACAACAACATGGATACTGTGGAGCCAACACCAGTTGCTGCCATTTTTGCTCAGTAGAGTCTCAAACTTGGAGTAGAGCCTACGGAAGAGTGGGAGGTTAACCTGGAACAAACAGAGTCTGGGGAAGAGCAAGAGTCATGGGGAAGGCAACACTACAGGTAGTGATGGTGTACCACTCTACCTTTGTCCAAAGGATGATCCCAACTGCCCTTAATTTGCACAAGGTTTTTGAAAGCAGCTCGTCCAACCTTATTTTACACAGCTATGAAAGGCTGCTCTTTGCCCTTTGGCAATATAAGAGAGGGTGTTGAACTTACTGAGGTGAGAAGCATCACACAGGTGGGGAAGGGGGACCCAACACTGGCACCAACCAGTGTCAGAGCCTAATGAATAATAATGAGTAGGAGGAAAACATTACTGTCTCCACTGAAACACTCCAAGCTTTTCCTGTTGTTCTGGGAAGTACCCTCAGTGGGGCAGCACCCTGGCATTTGGATTTACACACTGTGTCCCATAGTGCTGTGTATAGGTGGTTTTTTTTCTGACATATCTGCCCCACTCCTTCCCCTCTTCTCCTCTTTACCACCTTGGTCTCTGCAGGCTGCTGAATGAAAGCGACAAGCGGCCCTTTATCGAAGAGGCAGAGCGGCTGAGGATGCAGCACAAGAAGGACCATCCTGATTACAAGTACCAGCCCCGTCGGCGGAAAAACGGCAAGGCCACACAGGGTGAGGGTGAAGGCCAGGTGGAGGGGGACGCTGGCGGGGCTGCTGCCATCCAGGCCCACTACAAGAACGCCCACCTGGATCACAGGCATCCCGGTGAAGGGTCGCCCATGTCTGACGGTCATCCAGAACACTCCTCAGGTGAGTCCCAGGTCTCTGTGAATCTACTGATCTCTTAGCTACAGTCAACTCAGAGGCTCAAAAAAGACAAGTCATCATGGTGAAAGCCTTGGCAAGGGGGTTCACACCTTGCACAGAGTTTGACCCAACAAGCTCTGCTGGTGTCAGCAGTTCTGGGATGTGCCTGAGTTTTGTAGGCACTTGCATTCTTCTGGTCTCGTTGCACCCTCCCTTTTTTCCACAAGATGACATAAAAAGGTTTGGTTTAGGCTATTTCTTTCTCCCTCCACTGAAATCTCCAACCAGACAGCTGTTGGCATACTGGGAAGAACAGAGTTATGTATAGAGCCAGACATAAAGCAGTAACTCACCTCTTCTCTCTCTTTCCTCCTCAAAATCTTCTTCACATTGCAGGTCAGAGCCACGGGCCCCCCACACCGCCTACCACTCCTAAGACCGAGCTGCAGGCAGGCAAAGCCGACTCCAAACGGGAAGGGCGTTCCCTTGGGGAAGGGGGAAAGCCACACATTGACTTTGGCAATGTGGACATTGGGGAGATCAGCCATGAAGTGATGTCCAACATGGAGACCTTTGATGTCAATGAATTCGACCAATACCTGCCGCCCAACGGACACGCCGGCCACCCAGGCCATGTCGGGGGCTATGCGGCAGCGGCGGCTGCTGGCTACGGCCTTGGGAGCGCCCTGGCTGCAGCCAGTGGACACTCTGCCTGGATCTCCAAGCAGCATGGAGTCTCCTTGTCCACTGCCACCTCATCAGTGGTGGATTCCAAGGCCCAGGTGAAAACAGAGGGGTCCACCCCTGGAGGTCATTACACTGACCAGCCCTCCACCTCCCAGATAGCTTACACATCCCTGAGTCTGCCCCACTACGGTTCGGCCTTTCCCTCCATCTCCAGGCCACAGTTTGACTACCCGGACCACCAGCCCTCGGGACCCTACTACAGCCATTCCACTCAAGCCTCTGGCCTTTACTCTGCCTTCTCCTATATGGGACCTTCTCAACGTCCCCTTTACACTGCCATCTCTGACCCTGCACCCTCTGTGCCACAGTCCCATAGCCCCACACATTGGGAACAGCCCGTGTACACGACTCTCTCCAGACCATAGGGAATGGGAAACGGTGACCGAAGCAGCGATGGAAAGGCTCCGAAGAATCAGCATAGGCAGAAGAGCCTCTGAACTCCAAGGTCACTCAGTGCCCATCCAGTCACCAGAATGCACTGAGTATACCGAAGTGCCTTTCTTGACCCCAGCTATCATTGGCACACTCGCCTTGAGGAAGGTTTATCATCCTTTTGCCCTTTACCACTTTCATGCAGGCCACACGACTGGCTTGCCACACCTTATTTGCCTTCTAGATGAGGAGGATTCTAGACATGGAGTGACTGGTCTGTGGTGGGTTTTGTGTGCACCATGGACTGTACAATGAGAGAGACTGTCCTTTCCTTCCCCTCCCCAGATTGCTCCAGGGAGTTAGCAAGTGTTTCCAACAGGCTACAATGGCAAGCACTTTGTCACCTACCGAAAGTGAAGGGTGGTTGCTCAGCCTTGGTGGATGTGTAAGAGGAGCAGTAGGGAGGATGGCATGGACGGCTTCCTTGCAATCAGCATCGTGCAGCAGTCCTGCCTAAGATTCACACGTGCATGAATCTTGAACCACTTGGAAGACCAACCTACACCTGCTTCCCTGCTGATTTCCACAGCTGCACCCTAGCTTTTCTCCCCACCTCCTCTCTCCATCCTGTCTCTGTTTAATCTTACACTTTTTCCAGCATGGGGATTTTAAGCCTTGCCTGAACAGTGTATGGGACTTGGGAACAGCGTTGTCAGTCTTAGTGTAACTCATATTACAGCCTGTGTGCACATGTGTGTTCATGAATGGAGGTGGAGGAAAGGTGGGGAAGGACCAGTGAATCACTACGGTGTTGTGGGTGAATCCTCTTTTCTTAAAATTACTCTGTATCATTCATTTATGTCGGGCATTTCTGGCCTCTCAGTCTTTTCTAATCTCTTCAGAATCCCAAACAACCTCTAAGCAAACTTGGTCCTTGCTCTTCCATGTTTGACTGTGCCTTCCTGAAATGAAGAGGCACCAAGAAAGCTACTATGCACTTGTCAACACCCTGAGGTGATTCCAGTGCTCTTTGAACCCCCACTCCAACACCCAGAGGTGATTCCAGTACTCTTTGAACCCCACTCCAAACCCAGGCTGATGGGATCTGTGTCCCCACTCATTTGTTCATCATGTCTCCCAGTCAAGTCAGTCAACACCTCTCTCCCATCTACACTGAGGATGGAAAGATACTCCTGTGGCTTTAAGCAAGGTAGATACAGACCCAATCTTGGATGGGTGTAAAGAAGCCTATTTAGGTGCAAAGGAATCTATTTTCCCCTTTGGGTTTCAAAGTCAAAGCAACCAGCTCTCCCAGTCAGACTAATCTTTTTCAGTCCAACACCTGAGGACAGTCTGCTTGCTTCTCCTTTGTCACCTTCAGGACTGGGGTGGTTTGTCATGCCAGGGAGTGAACTGGCACAAAACTCACTGCAGGAAAAGATGACTCCTGCCAATTGATCACAGAGACATTTGTGGGACTGTCCAGTGCATATTCCAGTCTAGAAAGAGACTTTAACCAAACGTGGACTGTGATGGGCGCTGCTGTATCCCTCTGCTGATATGACTGTCAGATGCCTCTCCTGCCTCCCTTAGCTACAGATGACTTATCCTTGTGGTGTCTGAAAAGATCACGTAGAATGTTTGCTCCTTGTACGCATGTAACTTCTTCCAGCCCTGTCCCCTTATTTATGCAAGTAGCACCTTCCTCCCTCACCTCCCTTTCCTCAGTCTCTATGCTGTCCTAGCACCATTAACTCTGCATTAAACATATGGAATAATAAACTTAAAAGTTTCATTTTCACATGTCTGGGTTTTTTTGACGTCTTCTCTTCAAGTTTGTTTTTCCCCCCAGTAAATGTATGATGGGTCACATCACCACCATAAGGATCCTGTGCACAGCCTTCCTCTACCTTTCAGGAAAAGGACACAGGCAGAACTCTGGCTGACCAGACTCTTTCATGGAGGTGAAGCTCATCTTCTGCTCACACCCCAGCTCCAATCACTGATTCCGTAAGAAGTGCACTAACACTGATTTCTGTTCTTCAGCTGAAATTCAGCACACGCAATAAGGAGCACTATTTTGCATGTGCTTCACCCAAAAATTTCTTAGTGTAATTGTTAATGCTCCCTAGGATAGAAGTGTGGGATTTCTCATCTTGGTTCCTCATCACCAGGTAGCAGGTAACATACCTTCAAAAAAAACTTCCCCACATACACAAACTTTTGTATTTTGGAAGCAACCTTTAGTTTCTCTGTAGAAACTCAACCCCTCAGCCTCTTGCCTTCCACAAGCAAAAACGTAAATACAACAAACACTCACACACACAGAGTATATTCCAGATTAGATGTATACACCTTCTTACTTGTTGAAGACATTCTGGGTATAGTCAGATCTGAGAGGGTATCTGAAGTTTCCAGAAAGAAAATGTGTAGCAGGTATCACTGTGCTTCAGAACATCTCTTGAGGCTAACAGCAGGAAGGTAGGAGCCCAATTAACAGACTCCACAACAATTACAGGCTGATTCCAAAGGGTTTCAATGCTGATGCACGTGAGCAAATACAGTGAGTTTGTGTTCACTAAACACTTTATGGGCAAGTAGAGTGAGCAGAACATCTGGGAACACATTCAAAACTTTTTAAAAAGCACAGCACTATTTGGATGAAGTTCTGTATGGGGTCAAGAGCATCCATAGTAGAATGGCTTAATGGATCTAATAACAGTGATGCCAGCTAAAGAGTTCTATGCAAAATAGGACTGACCATTTATGGAGAGGAGAAATCTCTACCCCAAATGACAGGCTTTAGGAAGAGCCCAGGAAGGAACTACTGCACTGCTGATGAGGTTAGGAGTGTGTGTGGGGAAGAAGGGAAGCCATGATGGAGTTAGGGGTATGAGAGCTGATCACAGGGATGTGTGAGAGAAGTGACACAGCATGGATGAACAGAAGAGTGGAAAAGAAAGTTCGTAACTACACCTAAGTACCCTTCTCCAGCTCCTCATAAAGCAAATTAAGAAAGCAAGTAGGCTCTGCCTCGACCATTCTCCAGTGGAAAGAAATGCTTCCTCTCATGTAGGAGGATGCTCACAACTAAGACAGGACTGAGAATGCCACTGGTAACAGAGGGGTTAATCACTCGTCTTGCAGCCTAGCAGGAGCTGGCCCGGCATCCTTCCCTATCCCTTTAATCGTATCTGATACAGATGCAAGGCTGGGGAGGGGAGGCGGGTAGGGAACAAAGAAGCCATTTAAAAAAAAAATCAAAAAAAAGGACAAGAAAACGACCCCGCGCTCCATGGCAGACGCCAAAATGATTGCACAAAGGCACCATTTCAGGGCTGAAATTTCACCGCACCAACGTGATTAAAGGATTCCATGGAGGGTGGGGGGAGAGGGCTGAAGGCAACAGTGCTGCAAATTAACCTTTTCTTGGTAAGGATGGCCTGGACTAGGAAGCATTTGTGTTCCTCACAGTCAATCCCCTTCCCACACCTGCAAGCACCTCCACATCCCCTTTGACCTGTCAGTTTTGGCCAGGACCCATTCAATTCTTGCATTATTGCCTTGAAAACCAGCCCCTCCTGTGCACATCAACAGAAGATGCTCAGACTGGTGCTTTTACAGGGAGCAGTAAAAGAATGACATTCATGGTTGGTTATATGAGCAGAGTTCCCAGGCAGGTGGGTATAAACTCCCTTTGGGACATGGATGCTCATGTGCAGGCACTGACCACATATGCAGCATGGAGAATGAACACTTTATATATACAAGCACAAGCTTTAACACGGATTAGTTGGAAATACTCTTTCTAGGCCAGTGTAAAAAAAAAATTAATATAAGGCAGAAACCATAGGTGAGGTGCACCTTCCCCCTTCTTCTCTTTAGAAATAAAACCTGAAAATTCTGAGAGCACTTTTTAGTAAGAAAATTAAGAAAGACTTCATGTGTTCTGCCCAAGAGCTCAGATCTTCCTCACGTAGAACAAGAATCTTGATGCACACAGAACAAGAAATGAAAAGTAGGTAGCTGTTGGCTGGAAGCCCTTGCAGATTGTAAGGCATCCACCCAAATCTTGACTTGAGCTTGTTACCTCCCTGCACATCAGAGGTAAGAGTGCAGGTACCTAAAGGGGCCAAATGACTGATCTTTCATCACACTACAGATTAAAGGAACTTCAGGATTTGACTAGTTGTGCCACTGTAAGAACCACCAGGGTATGTACAAGTGAGATGGCTGGAGAGCACCCACCCCTCCAGACCATCAGTTCCACCGCGTGTCAGAGAACGGCTGCACAAGGAGCGAGCGAAACAACCACCTACAACTGCGAAGCTGGTGGGGCTGCAAGTGGCGACTGCGCTTCCGGCTGGGGCAGTGCCACTGAAAGGGGATCCCCACTTCTGATAAGCAGTGGGAGCAGAGAAACAATAGGTGATTTGATGAGAGTGCTCTACGATACTCCTGAGAAGCCCCACAGTCAGCACTGGCCAAAGAGGAAATTGGGAGTTTCCACAGCAACCTGCTCAGGGCACAAAGGCCCAACTGTCTAGGGAGAAGCAATGGAGGTGTCTCAGCACTCTCATTTTAAGAAGGAACAGCGGTGGAAGGCTGGAGTCTTTCTGAAGTCAGTGTACCTGCAAGATCATTTCTGTACAGCAGGAGTTTAATTGTATATCAGTCCTATAACCAGGGAGGAGCAGTGCTGGAGGAGGAGGAAGTAGTTCCTGCAGACTTTAGCCTAGCTAAAAGATAAGGGGGAAAAAAAGCTGCAAAAAAAGCATTGCACTTGGGTCCCTAATTTTACTAATACAGCCCATGACACAGAGAGAAAGAATAATAGCCAAGCTGTTACACAGAAAGTCATCTCTGGGGCATGTAGGACTGAGATGAAAGAGGAAGTGGGAGGGGAAAAAACCCAAACACATTTAACTTAAAATGAGGAGATTTAAAATTTATTTACATAAATACTAAACAAAATTAGAAACATTCCTGAAAAAGAAAAAAAAAACAACTGGTGGCTGGAGTCTGATCAGTCTGTGATAATTAACTCATCCACACCCCAGTCTTCATAGCTCCCATCTGGCAGGTAACGACGGATGATTATGGGGATTTTGCGTGCTCTGCAGGGAAGACACAGAGGTGAACAGAAATATCAGAGCCTTCACTTTAGCAGGCAATGGGAACTCACATGCTTGGTGGCTTCAATAAGTTCATCATACTTAACTGAGGGCTGTGTAGCACCAGTGATTTGATATGATATAGCGAAGTCCCAACAACCTTTTGTCTTTTGTAGGTGCAAAGCACTGAGCGCCCTTAGGCTACAAACACCAAAGACCCACAGGTCAGACCTCTGTTGCTAGTGCAGGAATTGAGCCCTGTGATCTGAACCCACTATGAGACAACATCAAGCATCAAACACTGATACAGGGGGAGAAGCAAACTGTGGGACAGCAGGGAGCTCTGCTGTGGAAAGGTGGGCCTGCAAATGGTCATCCAAAAGCTGCCTCTGCTACAGTCAGAAAGGATTTATTTACCTTTCTGTAAGCAGGGGCCAAGCACAATAAGCCAAGCACGCAAGGGTGCAGGAAACACACATTCTCACCAGACTGACCCTTATTTTAATTTTTGCCAGGACTTCATTTGAACACAGGTCTGTTCAGATGGCTGCTTTGAAACAATTCCATTTGGGGAATTAAACTGAGTCTGGAAAGATGAGGACCTTGAGTTTGCATCACAGAAATAAAGAACACTGGGACTGTGAAGTAGAAGAGGTCCAGAGCACTCCTAATCATCAGTATTTGCACAAGCAACTAGGATGGAAGAGAGCAGCTGTGGAGAAGCTTCAGTGTGAAAAAAGGGGAAGGCAACTATAGAGCTTACTGAAGGAAGACAAATTCGTCTTGGAATAAACTGCTAAATGCTGGGATGAGGAGAGGATTGCTGGCTTTATGGGAATCAATACACTCACCACCAAATCTGTGACTTACTTGAGTTCTTTCATGGCAATCAGCAAGGGGTCCGTCTCTCCTTCCAGCTCAACCATCACAGGGGCACACATCCTGAGAAGAACATCAACAACCACTTAAATAAACACACAGAAGAAAAAAAGGGACAGCTCAACATCCGTCTGCCTCTGTCACCTGTACAATGGCCAATAAAGGAGAAGGGTGAGACCGGCAAAACTGATTTGCTCTGTTATGCACTTCAAGAAGAAAATTCTCCCAGCTGGCTACAGAAAGAACTTTTACTTGAGTGTTCTTCTTGTCCCATCCCTCAGCCTCTGCTGACCAGCTCATGCTCAAGGACTGGTCAAACCCACACTCATCTCCCTCTGCTGTGCTTAAACATGAGGAAAAGAGCAGATCTACAATTAATCCAATGGAAAGGGTGGAACTGCTGTATATTGAGCATGCCTCCTGCAACTCCAGCACATCTCTTTGTTCTGACTTGCTCACAGCTTCCAGGCTTTTATCAGGGGAAGAGAGGGGCTGGATTTACAACATACTTTACCTCTAGGAAGCAAAAAATGATGCATTTTGCAATGGATTGTGATGACACCCATCTACTGGGCAGTGGCAGCAGAGAAACCTCACGTTATATGTGGGTGAGGCCACGGGGGCTGCTCGCCTGGGTTCAGCACCAAAGGCAGAAGATGCAGGTGAAGCAGAACCAGGTGGCAGAGTGCTGTGGATTAAACGCCTGGCATGGGTCCATCTCATCTCCCCCCATCTTTCTGGCCTTCTGCCAATTGAAAGAAGTGCACAAAACAGGTTCACAGAGCAGAGGTTGTGCAGAGAACAGCTTGGAAAAGTTGTAAGGAAAGATCTGATCACCACCTGCGAGCTTCTAAACAATACAGAACAGAGGCTTCATTTCAAGGGTGGATATAACCAAGATGAAACTCAAAAACTTGTCACTGCCTAACAATCTAATTCAAAACGCAGTTTTTCCAAAAGCACAAAATTTTTTGATATTTATTATTATAATAAATCTAAATAGGAAAACTGATTAAGTTGAGAGCAGCAAGCCTTGACAGCACTTAAAATAGGTAGGTTCTAAATGTTATTACCTATTATGAGTGAAGCCTTACTATTGCACATTAAAAACTTACAAGTGCAAACATTATTGCACTTTAAAAAACTTACAGCTCGCCACAACAGAACTGCATTTAAAGTCAATTTCAGGTTGGTTTCTCCTGTCCCAATTCCTACAGCCCTGTGGTATCAACTGAACACATTTTGGAGCATCCTGCTCTTCAGGCTTTTACATAACAGTTATGAGCTTTCCAGTCCACATTGGCTCTCTTAGGAAAGACAGAAACCAGAATCGGCATGTCCCATTCTGTACTAATTTTTGCCTGTGACCTAGAAAAATTCACTGAGGCTAATAAATGCTCCCCTTCTCTAGGCACAAGTAGCACAGTCTCAGCCAAAGAGAGACACAGAGACTTCAGGTGCAACTAAGAGCTCCACGGTTCCGGGCATCAGTGTTGACCAAGAGGATGACATGCAAGCTCAGCAGCCATGCAAAGGATCCGGGAGTTTTTAAGGGAAGAGGAAAGCACGTTTCAGTGCAAAGGGAGGCGCAGCTGTGGCGGCGGTGGGGACACAGCGGGCAGTACTCACGCTATCTGGAGAGCACGGGTGCCCAGGACTCTGGCTCGCTCGTACTTGGTCATGTAGGGTGTTGTAATCCGCTTCTGGTTCGCCTGCTGTCGCTCTCCCGAGGGCAGAATTTCCACGTTCTCCTGTCCTTCCTGGT